CTTCCCATGCGCTCTGAAGCTTCCCAGCCTCCCACTCCCAGCCCACATCCCCAGGCCATCTCAGTTAGGTTCTAATGAGCCTTTTCAAAATCATATATGAAAGGGCTTATTCCAGTAAGTACAGGTCCTTCAGCACTAAACAGCGCAGGCTAAACTCCTGTTCTAGGAATATCTGCCCCTACTTCAGAGGAAGAGGAATAGAAAACAGTGATTAGGGGACTTTCCTGGTGGCGCAGTGGTTAAGAATCTACCTGACAATGAAGGGGACTTGGATTCGATCCCTGGTCTGGGAAGATCCCACGTGCTGTGGAGCAACTAAGCCCGTGAGCCACAACTACTGAGCCTGCACTCTAGAGCCCGTGCTCCGCGAGAAGCCACCTCAGTGAGAAGCACGCGCACCGCAACGAAGAGTTCTTCCCACTCGCGGCAACTAGAGAAAGCTCGCGCAGCAACGAAGACCAACGCAGCCAAAAATAAATAAATAAATAAATAAAATGCAAAAAATATATTAAAAAATAATAAAATAATTTCTTGCACAGGCTGTACAATATGTTTCTGCTAGCAATAAACAGGTCTGAGTAAAGGTTTTCCAAATTTTTTCCTGTCTGCATTTTTTAAATCATATTTTAAGAAGCATCATCAGGGCTTCCCTGGTTGTGCAGTGGTTAAGAATCTGCCTGCCAATGCAAGGGACACAGGTTCGAGCCCGGGTCTGGGAAGATCCCACATGCCGCGGAGCAACTAAGCACGTGCGCCACAACTACTGAGCCTGCACTCTAGAGCCCATGCTCTGCAACAAGAGAAGCCACTGCAATGAGAAACCTGCACACTGCAACGAAGAGTAGCCCCTGCTTGCCGCAACTAGAGAAAGCTGCACATAGCAGTGAAGACCCAACACAGCCATAAATAAATAAGTAAATTTATTTTTTTAAAAAGCATCTTCAAAATCAAACACACATATCAATACCAAAACCCGTAAAATTAGCTATCATACACCCATGTAGGCATCTTATTAAACTGGTTAATTGCTTCATGAGATGTAAGGTAGTTAGTGTAATAGAGGGAACATTTGCAGTGGAGGCAGAATAACCTAGAGCTTGGTGGAAATCTTGGCTCCATCACTTGCTAGCTATGTGAACTTGGGCAATTTCCTCGTCTCAGTCTGAGTTTTCTCGTTTGCAAAATGAGATAATTATTCCAATCTTATGAGGATTAACTGTATGTGAAATGCCCAGCACAGAGCCTGACTCAAAGCAGGAGCACAGGAAACAATTACTATTATTACTCTGTTGTTATTCATGTAAACTTTTTAAAGGCAAAGCATACTTTTTTCTTGTAACTCAACTGTAGGCTTTATAATATTGAGAACTGAAAAAATAAAGGCAAGAAACATCATAAGTTACAAAGGACTTGGTATAATATCAGTTCAGCACATGCCTAGATAGGAAATGAAACTATGAAGTAAAAATGATGACCTTCAAAACATATATAAAAATAAGCAACATCCTTTTTTAATTAATTATTTTATTTATTTATTTTTGGCTGCATTGAGTCTCCATTGCTGTGTGCAGGCTTTCTCTAGTTGCGGCGAGTGGGGGCTAGTCTTTGTTGCAGTGCACAGGCTTCTCATTGCAGTGGCTTCTCTTGTTGTGGAGCACAGGCTCTAGGCGCGCGGGCTTCAGTAGTTGTAGCACACAGCCTCATGGGCTCTAGAGTGCAGACTCAGCAGTTGTGGCACACGGGCTTAGTTGCTCTGCGGCATGTGGGATCTTCCCGGACCAGGGCTCAAACCCGTGTCCCCTGCATTGGCAGGCAGATTCTTAACCACTGCACCACCAGGGAAGCCCCCGTCCTTATTTGTATAAGCCACTCTGAAAGGAGACGACGCTGTCTTTGTACAAATCACATATAGAACTACTTTTCATCCCACAAGTATTTCCTGAACATCCGTTGAGTGCCAGTCATTACGACTGGCAATGTGTGTATGATGGTGAGCAAATGCAGACACAGTTCCAAGCTTCACGGAGCTTCCAGTCATACAATCATACAAATAGTGTAAACTTGTGATAAGTGATATAAAGGACAGTACATGGTACTCTGAGAGCCAGCAGCAGATCTAACCTAACTGGGGAGATCAAGGAACACCTTCCCGAGGAAGTGAAAGATGGGAGCTGAAGGATGAAGAGGGAGTTACCAGTGGAGGGTATTTCCAGACAGAGGAAAGCAACTTGTGCAAAGACCCTGTAACAGAAGGAAACAGGCAAGAATGCAGGACCAAAAGACCAGTGTGCCTCGAGCAAAGATGAAGTGTGAGAATTAGCTAGGGATCTAAACCGCACAAGGGCTGAGGCATTGTAGACCATATTCAAGAGCTGTTAACAATCATTCAAGAGCTGTCAATCCCAAGAGCTATGAAAAGCCACTGAGGGTTTTATGAATGCTTATTTTGGTGGCAGGTAGGCCAAAGGGAAGATGCAATCAGATTTGCAGTTTGCCTTTGGTTTCTCAAATAAGAGTTAAGGAATGCAGATGGATCAAGTAGGAAACAAAAATTCTGTCAGGATATGACAGTGCTTGGACTAGGATGATGATAATGGTGGTGGTGGTGGAAGAAGTCAAAGAATTCAGGAGATATTCAGGAAAACCTGATGATGTATATAATGCACAGGGGCTGAGGAAGAACAAAGTATCCAAGAAAACTTCTGGGTTTATGATGTGCATGACTGTATAGAAAGAGGTACCATTTGAGAGGGATCTGCTCCACAAACACCTTTAAAGCAGTTTACACACCGCACAAAGGGTCTGAAACTGTGTTATCCAGTTTGATCCCCTACTTTACCCATGAAATAGGATTCCAAAAGATTTTTTTCTATTTCCAAAAATCAAACTGACTCTCAAATGTACAAGATTTTTCCAACACTGAAGATATTTCAAAGATTCTGCCACAAGCTTTGAAATCAACTCCAAATGAGTTCTAAAACTGGTTTGAACAATGAGGCAGCATTATGGAATGAATATGTCATTTCCCATGACAACTACTCTGATAAGACTAACATGCATTTGTTGCTGTTTAATTTAGATATTTTAAAGAAATCTTAAGAGTACTCTCAAAAAAAAAAGAAGAGTACTCTCATGTGATATTAAACTAAAATACGAAATTTTATCTGGCATTACCACAATTGGAATTATGCTTTTATGTTTGTGTTTCAACATTTTGAAGTGCCTGTAGAAACCTTGGTATTTTGTAGGAAAACATATGGTTAAAAAAAACCCACATAACTTCTTGATCTTAATATACATATATTTTACTATTTCCATCCAGTCCTTGTTAATTCCCATCACATTCATTCGATGTAAAAGGTTTTTACTAAACACAGTTGCATATATGTATACACACATACATATACAGAGTAAAGCTAATACTTTATCAATACTATGAATACTTTAATATTTACTTTTCTCAGTTTTAATTTTTTAATTCACACCCACATGGCATTTTCATAGTGGAATACTGATGCCCTCAAGTCTTAGAAACATAAAAACTTCAAATCTGACTAGCCCTAGAAAAAGAAGTGAGTTTTGCCCCTTTAAAATCAACCGAACACCATCACACCTTAGTGCTAAAGTACTGATAGTATTTCCCTAATTCTGGCAAGGTGGGCTCCTTGGCCACCTGCTTGCACTAGGCCCTGACTAGCATTTTATTAACATTAATTTCAGTTACCAGGATATTATTACTGCTTATACAGAGCAGCAGATTTTTTCCCCCATGCTGATTTTATCTCTAGGCGTCAAAAGAAAAGACTGTGGTCTGAAGCCAAATATGAAAAATGTCATCTCCACAAATGAGGAGAAAAGTCAAGCGTTTTTTAAAAATCAGGTCTTAAGCCCATTAACCAATATTAGTTTGTAAAACCAGACTGTCTCCACACTAGAGACTGTACTACCAAATGTGGTCCTTTGGGAGCAAGGGCTGGCAAGCTTGAAATGGGTTACCAGCATAGTTCACCTTTTTCTTATTTTAGGGGTTTTTTGTTTGTTTGTTTTGTTTTTAAACAAATCAGACCATGGCTATATTTATTTGAGCATGGGTGTGGGCAGTGCCAAGGAAGAGACAGCGAAAAGACTTTAGGGTTCCAATCTCAGCTAACAAGACTTTCCTACCATCCTCAGAAGGAGTGGTCCATGTCTCCCCAACAGGAATGTGGGCGAGGGAAAGTTATAAAGGCCCTGAGCTCTTCCCTTACCCAAGCCCCCCAAATGACACGACAAACCACTTCCTTCTGGGAACTGAAAGTCTTAAGCTTTAAGGGACAATGGAGCTCACTGTAGGCTTCAGAAAGATGGAGACAGTGAGATGAGATGCGGGGAGGGAAGTGGGGGTGAGGGGATGCGCCCAGCGGCGGAGAGCTAAATAGGGCGGTCAAGGCTAGGGACTTCGGGAACCTGAGAAGGCCTGGATCTTCCAGAATCTGTCCAAGTAGGCCACAGCCCTCTAAGAAGCCCGAGGGGCTCGTCTGAAAATCTAGGGCATCTAGGGACCCAGTGCCTATCACTGTCCTGGGGAGGGGAGACAGTCCCCGCAGGAATCCGGCCCCCAAAGTGGGGCTTTTCCTGCCCTTAAAAAACCACAAACCCTCACGGAATGAAGCAAAACACATACAGGGAAGGCAGGGCCGGAGGCAAAGTAGGTGTTCTGCAAACGTCGGGGGCGGGGAGATGTTGGCAGAGGTAAAGGGAGGCCCCCAATTCGAGAAACTTTAATCATCACCGGAATAGGGGAGGGGGCAATATGCGACCGGTAAGCAGCAGACAGAAGAGGCCGGGAGCGAGAGCGGCGACCAGCAGCGCCCCCCGGCTTCGGGGGATGACGGCCTGGGGCGCGGCCGCCGGGGGCGGGGGGTTGGAGGCCACCGCGGACCCCCGGCCGCGAAGAGCACAGCCGGGCTAGGCCTGAGGTGTCCGGACACACCCACCGCCGCGGCCGCAGCCCCGCTTACCTGCTCCTCCTCCGGGGTCAGCTCCGGCGCCATGTCGGGCTGGGGCGCGGTCGTGGGCTCCATCCCGCCACCGCCGTCGCCGCCGCCGCTCCCGCCGGCGGACAGAAGTCGCCCGGGAGCGCGGGGAGCCCGGTGCGGTGGGCCTCCGCTTCCGCGTGCCCGCTCCTCAGCAGCCCGGGGCCGGCTCGCGCATAGCTAGGCCGGCGGGGCCCGGCGCCCGCAGCGGCCGCAAACGCCGCTTCTGTTTCCTTAAGAAAAAGCTCTCAGAACTGTCGCTCTCTTCTGGGCGGAAATCCTTTTTTATTTTCTTCGTTCCGTTCCTCACACTCCCCCACCTCTCCCGGAAAAAAAAAAATAGTGCAGGCGAGGAGCTAATCGGGATTAAAAAAAGGAAACGTGAAATCGAGAACTTTCTAAGCCCAGAACGAAGGACCGCGGGGGAAATTTTCGGAAGGCCACTGGCCTCCTCGGCGTCCAGCTTCCTCGGCGGCGCTCCGGCTCCTGCAGGAGTCCTCGGGGATGCGGGGCCCTGCGACCTGCGCTGCAGCCTCTCAGCCCCGTTCCTCAAAAGCCGCGGTGATGGGAGGGAGGGAGGGAGCGAGGGAAACGCGCCCCCCTCCCGGCTCAAGGCCAGTGCTGCGGCCGCACTGCGTCCGCCCGAGCCCCCCGCGGCTCCATTGAGAAACTGAGTGTCTCATTCACAAACAGGCGACGAAAAGGGCCCGGCAGAGCTCTGACGCAGCCCGGGAGGGGGAGACAGAGAGGAGCCCGGGGGCGGGGGCAGCGGAGCTAGAGGAGGGGGACGCCAAGAGCCATTCGACAGATATTTATGGAGCCTGCCGGTGCCAGATACTGGTCCTCATGGTGGGGATAAAAGAGGGAATGAAACACCAAGGACTCTGGAGTGGACTTTCTCCACTGGTTCTGTGTCCCCAGCCCCTGGGAGTCCCTGGCATTTACACAGCAGGGGCTTACTGGTACCTCCTGGATAAGAGGTGAACACATTTCTTCCCCACATGGTCCCTTAGTGAGAGACTTGGGGCCTCCCCTGTCCTCCTGGATGAACCTCTGCCAGCCAGCACCTCCCTGCTCCCTCGGCACACAGATCTGTACTGTAGGCCTGGGGTCAAGGCCTCTCTGCCCACCCTAAGCACCGTTGGGTGGCAGACAGATGGGGAAAAGGGACATGGGCTGTCTCAGCGGGAGGAGGGAAGAGCAGAGAGGGCTGACCCACTTTTCTGGTCTAACCGGGAACTCCCAGCTGGGCCTTGGGGCTCCGGGGATTGGACAGCCTGGATGGCCGCCCTGACCCTGATCTGTGTTGCATTATTCTCAGGACGGTGACGTGCGTCAGTGCAGCGGGTGAGGGTGAGTCACCAACGGAGCTGCTGTCAGCGGCTGGAGAAAGAAGGCGCCGGGAGATCAGAATCCCACGGGCTCAGATCTCGTCTCAGGTCAGCCTGTTTGTTAGCCTGAAGACAGAGGCTACAGAGGCCGTGGTGCCACTGGGCTCCTCCCCTTGTCCCCAGGCTCTGGCCAGATTCCCAAACCTTCCCTCTGTGAGGGAGCGGAGAGAACCTGGGCTTTAATGAGGGACAGATGTGCCTGCCGGCCCTGGAGCCGCCCCTGCCTGGAGCGACAACTTCTCTCCAATTCTCTAAACCTCAGTTTTTGTAGCTGGAGATGGGTTCATAATATCTACTCCAAGGAATTGTTGAAAGATTGGAAATGTCATTTGCACAGCATCTGGTACTTAAGAAATGGTGGGCGTCATTTCCCAGGCCCCTGGGTTGGGACTTGCGATGTTGCGCTAGCGATAAGTGCACGTCACAAATCACAGCCCCACGCCTGCCCCTCCCTGCCAGTCACCTAGGGGTGACCCGCCCCAGCCACCTCTCGCCCTCTCTGGGGAGAAGCATGCGCGCTGTGCTCTGTCGGCATTTGCTGGCCCTGCTGGCCATGGGCGAGGACCCGCCATCCCATCCTCTGAGCACAGGCGGCCCCTCGGCCGCCGGGTCATTTCCCACCCCTTCTCCACGGCCCTCCCTCACTCTCACCCCAACTCCCTCAATTTCCTTTTCTGCCCCTGGAAATGGAACGTCTTGGAATCTTCCCGAGTACTCCTTGGTTACTCTCCTTTTCCTTCTTGGCCCGGAGGAAGGGATGCCCCGTCTTCACAAACAGACGCCCTCCCACGCGCCCCTCCTTCTACTGGTCCCTGCCCACCCACCCTCCTGCCTCCCTCCGGTTCCTTCCAAACTTCCAAATGCTGTGCTTTGGGGCAAAGTGTGTTAATTTCTGTACTGGGAGCTTTCTGTACAGTTTCTTTATCTGGGAAATTCAAGACCAGAACTTCCTTCCTCACAGCTTGTCCATAGGATGCCCTGACTGTGTCTCTTCCCTTCCCATCTCGTGCGTACCAAGTGTCCAGCCCCAGCGTTGGCTCTTCCTGTTCTGAGACCCCTAGTTGTCTTTGGGCAGCTCCTTCTCAGCCCTCTCACCTCCTCTCTCAGCTCATCTGTGTCACCTTCAGAATCTCACCTCTAAGCAGGTGGTGCTCAACTTCTTAATACCAACACTGACTTCTCACTTCAGTTCATTTCTGAATTTCTTTTTACTATTATCTTAGTTTGTACAGTTTCTTTCTTAGTTATTTATGCTTTTTCTTCTTCCAAACAGGATTCGGAGGGGCTCAGGCCTGGCTTTCAAGGTGTCTGCTGGGGGGTTGCCTCAGAGCTTCTTGCATTCTGCTGACCTGAAACACATAGATGGTCAGATATTTCTCCAGCAAAGGTGGATTTACTCAAGATCAACAGAGAATTGCAATTTGGGGTCTGCATCCATGGTGAGCCACGGGCAGGTCCCCACACAGCAAGGGAAGGATACACTTTATAGGAGAGAAAGGAGGTAGGAAGGGCTACAGAAAACGAAGAGTCCATGGCTTCTCACCGGCTGAGTCCTCGCCAGGAAAAGGAGGAATCGCTCTTTCTTCTTCCTGGTGGGCTCTGGTGTCAGCTCAGGGCTTGAGAGCTTCCCCTTCTGGTCACTCTATTTAACTTGAGGTTTCTGTTTATTCTTTTACAATTCCAAGTTCATTTCATGAGCCACACTTTCCCACGCGCACTTCTGCCTCTTTTCGGTTTTGTCTTTCAGCCTGATGCCAGCAACCTCTCCGCAGTCACTCGGATTGGAAACGCCACAGCTACGACCTCCTCTTTCTCTGTCACATCCAACCAAGTGCAAAGTCCTCCACAGCATCCCAGTTCACTGTCTCTCCAAGACCTGGCCCTGCCTTCCCTGTGGCCCTCGGCAGCCTTGGCCAGGTGCCTACATCTCCTCTCCGATTCCGCTGTGATTCTTGCCCTTCCACATCTCCGTGTGCCCACCGCACCGCTTCCCTGGTCAAATCCCCTAGGGCACCCCACTGCCTGCAAATACCCTAGAGCTTCTTAGAAGAATATAGGAAGCTCTCCAGGTTCTGTCTATAAAATTTTTTTGTTTGTTTTCTATCGGTAAGATTATTTTGTTCAAATGTGTTTTAAAGTGATCGTGAAAGAACAGGGCTCATCCCTCTGAAGGAAGTTTGTTGACCTGATGGGAAAATGCAAAGGGGAGCAAAATATCCTTTCTTTGTAAGTGTCTGCCTTTAAGGAATCAAGGCAGTTTCAGGAGATGGAGGTCTGGAGGGGAGGAAGTCGCTGCTCCCCCGACCCACTGGTCTCAGAAGGACCTCCAGAGGGAGGACTTGCCTGGGACACAAAGGACCATCAGAAGAGCCAGGAAGGTAGTGAATAGGGCACCCAGAGTAAGGAAAAGCGAATGAACTAAAACCTCGTGCGTATTAAAGAATGACAGGTGACAGGTGAAGATTGGCAGGGGCAAATTTCTATTAATAACACCATCTATTAATAGTGTGGCCACAGGCTGAGTTTATTATTGGCCAGGTCCTGTACTAAACATGCAAAGGGCACTATTTTATTGCATCCCCGCTGCAGGCCAAGGGGGAGGGGCTGCAGGGCTCCCAGGTGCCAGAGGGGTAAGTTTCTCTGGGTGTGAAGTAATTCTCCTGGTCCTCTCGCTGGGGAGCCCGTGTGTTTCCCATGTTGTGAGGCTGCTTTCCTGTAAAGCTGGGAAGATATCACTTAGTCCATGGTGAGAGAATATTCTGGCGGAGGAAGAGAATCTTCTTCCAATCGCCCCAGAACCAGGGAGGATGCTCCCAGCTCACACTGCAGCACCTCCAGTTTCCCTCCTTCTCACTCCCTTTTCCAACTGTGCCTCCTGGGGTCTCCCAGGAATGAGACACCAGTGTTTTACAGGGTCCCACAATTCTTAAGGGGTTTTCCCAAAGACACGGTCGCCAAAGCTTTGAAATGACTGGCTCACCCCTTGCCTGAACCCAATTACATTTTTTTTAGACAAGAAACACTTCCTCCTGAGTAGGCGTCAGCGTGGTGGTGGAGTATTTCCATTTTCCCGTTGCATTTAGACCCTTGAGGTGTGCGTTGAGTGTAAAACACAACAGGCGTTGCTGTTCTAGCTACATACATTCTTGTTTTAATAAAATTGCACTTTCCTGGGGAAAGCATCTTATGGCGTTTATATTCACTGGCTCAGGTTCTGGTTATCCTTAGGAAAACCTGGACAGTTGGCTCCTTCTACCAGAGCCGAGATGGCCTTGTTTACCTGAACCACAGGATGTGAACACACTGAAGCAGGACTGGGATAAAAGCTGCTCAAGCCCTTCTTACATGGTGACGCCCACCTCTGGCCTCATCCCTCTGGGCCAAACCACCAACTGCAAGTCTTTTCTTGGTGGATCTATTGTCCTTTGTAACCATCAGTCAGAAGCTCACTATTTCATCCTCTCTAGTCACCGCAGTCCTTTAAAGATACGATCTCCAGTAAGGGCTACACCAAGTAGCAGTATTAGTTTGCAGAATTTGGGTTCCGGTGATTTTACTGCTTACGGATATTTTGTAAATAGACTCTATTTAAATGCAGCAGAGAAACTTTCTATTTCAGTGAGCTCCTCCGGAATCCCTTTGTAAAGCAAAGAACCCTTTGCGATGTTGAAAGTGGGAATTGATCTGTTTTGTACCCATAGATTTTGTATATAGGTTTTCTTACAGTGGCCATAGGTGCAGCGACTGGGGAGCATTACAGTAACAATATGAGGGGACACCCGGCTGGCTGTCTCCAGCTTGGTTCCTGCAGGAAGAGACGCCTCCTCTCCGCCCCGGGCAGCCGGGTTTGGATGTGAAGAATAAAATT